CCACCACCACCACCACCACCCCAACAACCTTGACATGTGCGGTTCTGCAGCCACGTACACATGCTTGGTATTCAGACATTTTCAGGTCTTGCAGGCAGGGGTACCGCAGAACATGCTTCACATCTTGCTACAATCCTTTGGAGGGGCCATCAACTCAAAGCCTTGACGTGGGATCTGGTGATGATGGCATATGTAGTTGCCCTGATCATTTGGCGCCCCACAGCTCGAGGACGGCGGCGGCCTTCACATCGCAGGATCACTGTCACTTGGAAGAATGACGTTACGTACTACGCAAAGTGGCTATAGTGTCTTAGATCGCAGACAACAACTTACTTTGGGCTGCCTGTGGGTGCCGCCCTTTTCACTGCCGAAGCTTGGTCATGCTTGCACAATACCTGGAAAAGACAATGTCTAAAAGAACACTGGCAGCAACTTACGTTCAGCTGCAGCTGGGGCAGGTGTGTCTCAAAGATTGTCCTCGCATCCACTCGTTGCTTCGTGTCCATCACTTAACATTGGAAAAGACATGCAAGCATGGCATGCATGGCTACATGAAAAAACATTAGTTTGACCGTCAACGTCATGCTCATTATAATGACGACCATGGTCGTAAGCAGCAAGCATCACACTGACCATCTCAACCCTGCTTACCATCATTGTTCTCGTCTCTCCTCTTCCCGACATCACCACCACCACCGCCACCATGATCTTCTCCTTCATCTTCATCGGCCTGACGATGGCAAGTTCAAGGACATGCAAAATTGCAAGGAGGGATATGTGTAGAACCGAAGTTGCCGTCACGGAATCCATGCCTATGTAGCAAGAAGACACCCCAGTGACGGAAACACTCTCGCATGGTGGTCGTACGGCAGCAGGAGATTGGCCGGCGGGAGCGATATAATGTGTAGTAGTAAGTTGTTGTGTTTTAGTGCTGTAGCAGTAGAAGTAGAGAACTAGAATAATTCTATTTAGAAGTATAAGACAAGGAGGAGTAGGAAGAGTAAGTAGCGTGACAAGCAGCAAAAACGTCGTAGTACCAAAAACAGTCGCCCCCCGTAAGCTTCCAACAGGCGTCTTCGAGGAGGGTCTGAGATCATGGTGGAGTCAGCGTCGGCGGCACGGCATGGTGGCGGTTTGTTCGCTCACGGAGAGGCCCGGAAAGCCTGGGCGAAGCAGGCATTCGGCAAGCATCAGCCGGGACAGAGCAGAACCCCAGATTTCCTCTTGTTCCAGAGTTTCTTTGCTGTGACATTTGGTAGTGTACGTGATGAAGTCTAGTGTTCGGACTGCGAGCTGCTGTCATCGGGTGTTTTGCATATTGCTGCCCGAACTTACGCCGGTTTTTAAGTTTCTGCAGTTTGGTCCAGTTTGTGCCTTTGAGACTTTCGACTGGGGGCTGAATGTCTGCCTGTTCCATGGAATTGACTCGTGGTGACAGAACAGATAGTGTTCCGGTGCTTCAGCTAGGGGAGTCTCCATGCACGATAAAGAATATCTCAGTTTTAACCGGAGATGCCATGGATCCGAGTCTGTATAAAGCGCCGCACTTCGTACCTTCACTGCCCGGAGGTCGTCATTACGGTGCGGGCCCCATATCCTCGCCAGTGGAGAGGGGGGAGTGATGGGACCAGGCATGCTACAACGCAGGGGAACTACGAGTATCCAGGCAGTGGCTTCTCTCTAGTGCTCATCAGCACTAGCCTCGTATGGATGATGGGTACTCATGCTGAGCCGTGTGACCGTGGACTCTCTGACATCTGACAGGGCGATTCTACAACGTGTTTGATTCATGCAACCTCAGAAGATTAATATGAAGGCTCTGATGTGCGTAATCTGTGGCCTTTAGGATCTATTGCTGCATTATGAGGATGCAGAGGCGTGGGATGATACCTTCAAAGTGGCAACTGTTCCCGGCAAAGAGTGTACGCGGATGTAAGACTGAGGCTCCGGCAATCAAAATATTTAGATAGCCTTGGACATGACTTTTTCTTTGAAAAATCAGCGCCTGTTCTGGTGATGGATAGGTAGTATGCTGCTGGTGTGCAAGCCTTGGGCAAAGTAGCCATGAACCTTACAGTTCTTGCAGTCCGGGAAGTATAAGACCAATGATTCCCCAAACCTACACCTTGACAAGAAATCGCAACAGCCGGGGCTCCAAACTTCCCCAGCCTCCGACCAGTGGTCCCTTGAGCAAGGAGAACTCGCTGATTCGAGTCAGGCAAACCCGAGCACTTGGAATAGGAGAGCAGGTTTGCTTCCGGGGCATGCTAGAGATTCCGTACTATACAAGACCTTTCGGATGTGAGCCGGCTTGATTCGACTTCGAAGGACATTCAGCTATGTCGGTGCTGTATCGTTCCAAAGAAATCTCGAGCTGTCAGTCGTAAGCTGGCAGGCACCATAAGCCCTGAATCCTCGACACCCTCACCCCTGAACTCTAAAGGCCCTAGAGTTGAGTCGGTCCAGCAGGAGGCGGCTTCATGTCAGTCAGCTCGCTCACGGTGTCGGCTGGCAGCCTTGACCTCGAGCACACGACCGCAAGATCAGGAGGAGGCATTCTAGTGAATTGATTCCGAATATGTTTTTCTTGCTGTCCTGGATTGAGCTTGTGCTGGTAAGGGTGTGTCAGGCAGCACGTCAAGTGGTAAACGTAGAGTGGGAGTCTGGAGCGGCTACGCGACAGAGAGAGTTGTGCTGGGGTCGTGCGTCGTGCGGTTGGCACACCTGGAGGCTTTGCGACCAACGGGAGCTTCTTCGCAAGCGATGGCGCAGCCATCAGCATTCACAGCTCCAAAGCCGGAGTTAGTGGGGGAGGCTTCCTCGCCTTGGGGCAGTTCGTCAGCTTTACCAACAGGTCTTCCGTTGTCATGCAGGATGTCAGGGCCAAGCAATTCGGAGGAGGATTCTTAGCGGCCTTCGGCTCGGTCATCTTTGGGGGTATGTCTGAGATGACGGTTGTAAACGGCCATGCCACCAGATTGGATGGGGGGGGCTTTGCCTCCGCGAGGCAGCTTGAGGTGGATGGTGGTTCGACAATCAGGCTCCGGAACGTTTCCGCCGGAAGGGCAGGAGGGGGATTCGCAATCCGGACATCAAGAGCACGTGTCCGGGGTCACTCCAGAGTGATGATTTCCGACAGTCATGCTGACTTATCTGGAGGAGGCCTATACGTAGCGATCCTCGAGGTGTCCGACAATGCAGCCGTCAGTATCCAGAACAGCTCTGCAGTCGCAGGAGGAGGTCTCTATGTATGCGGGTGCAACTTGACATGGGCAAGGCTTGGTGGAGAGCTTGTTGTCGTCAGCAAGAGCTCGTTTCTTAGCATTCAAGGCACCAGAGCTCAGCTTGACGGAGGAGGGGTGTATGCTAACGGTGCCGTTGTTGTCGCTGGTGCTTCCAATGTAGTGGTGTCTGACAGCCATGCGGTCAGAGGCCAGGGTGGTGGCTTCCATGCGAAACGTAAGGTGCAGGTGGTTGATGGCTCCATGCTTCGATTTCGGCATGTTTCTGCCGGGGACCTGGGTGGTGCCTTCGGGATTGCTGTGCCGGATGCAGAGAGTCTGCTAGTTGTGAACGAATCAGGCCTGAGTATTGACGGTGCAACTGCCGGTACGGGTGCCGGAGGATTCTTCGCAGCAGACGCCAGTTCCACTGTTGTGATCGCAGGTTATTCTAAGCTTGTGCTCAGCGACTGCCACGCGCAGAAGGGCCGTGGCGGAGGCTTCATGACTTCCAGGCTGCAGATAACCGACCATGCCGCAGTCTTGATCCAGAATTGCTGGGCCAGTGGCACGGGCTTCTTTGGAGGGGGGTTTCACGCAGTTTTTCCGTACCACGAGACTTTGGAGACTGTTCTTGTTGCCAACAGCTCGGTGCTCAGCGTGCGTGCTGGCAAGGCAATGGCCGGGGGAGGATTTCTCTCTGCAGGAAAGGTTTTGGTTACAGACGCTTCAAAGCTGGAAGCTTCGGAATGCCATGCACGTGAGGGTGGAGGCTTTAGCACATCTGCTTTGCAAGTGACCGGCCGCTCTTCCGTATCGATCGAAAATGCCACAGCCACGTCAGATTTCGGAGGTTTCCGGTCGCAGAAAAGGGTCGTGGTCTCCGATGGCTCGACGATTAGTCTTCGCGGCACAATGGCTGGACGAAATGCAGGAGGCTTCGGGGTGTTTGGACCGCTTGTCCTTGCCGGCAGGTCCCAGCTCTGGGTTCGCAACTCCTTCGCAAGTACTGGATGCTGCGGAGGCTTCTTGGTCGAACAGCGACTTCCAGACAGTCTACCTGCGGTGCAAGTGACTGACGGCTCAGCCATTCATATTGACAATGCTACAGCACGACTCCATGCCGGAGGTTTCTTCGCAGAGCGTGGAGACGTTGAGGTCAGTGATGGCTCACGCATCAGAATTCAGAATGTTGCCACTGCTGCATATGCTGGCGGCTTCATGGTGGTAGACAAAGGGTTGTCAGTTGTCAACGGCTCGGCCATCCGAATTCGAACTGCCACCGCCGGACAGCATTCGGGAGGGTTTGCTGTTGCCGCAGAGGTGTTGGTGGAGTCCAACTCGAGCATCGTGATTTCCGACGCCATGGCCCGAAAAGGAAACTCAGGGGGCTTCGGCGCCAGAAGTCTGCAAGTTGTCAGCCGATCGATGATACACATCAAGCGGGCCCAAGCCAGTCTAAATGGAGGAGGTTTCTTCGTGAACGGCCAGGCAGTGGTCACTGGGCATTCCGAGGTAGTGGTTTCCAACAGTCGCGCCATTGAGGGACATGGCGGAGGCTTGTCCACTTCACGATTGTACTTACAACAGAACTCCACAGTCGATGTCCGGACAACTTCAGCAGGACAGCAGGGAGGTGGCGTCTTTGCATGCGGCTGTGTTCCCAACTTCGCATCGGAGGTTGTGCTTGTTGCCGATGGCTCCAGTCTTTCAGTTTGGAATGCCACGGCTGCCCATTCCGGTGGAGGACTTGCCGCTGGTGGACAGGTTGTGGTCGCTGGTTGGTCCATGGTGGCGGCTTCCTATTGCCACGCAACATCTCGAGATGGTGGGGGAGTGGCAGCTGGGACTTTGCTACTCCATGAAAGCTCAGTTGTCAGCATCCAGAAAGCCACAGCCGGTCAATTCGGGGGAGGCTTGTACACAGAAGGAAGCATACTGGTCGGGGCCGCCTCCACACTGACCATCTCCAACAGCTCGGCCGAACTACACGGAGGAGGTGTGTATGCTGTCAACCACAATTACGTTTCCCACTCCAGCGACTCAACAAGACGCCCGCCTTTTCATTCTTGTCAAATTTTCTTATAGTCCGGGCAAGGAAAGGCTTACGTAGAGGCAGTAGTCGAGGTAGCAACTTGCACATTCAGGTGCTTTGCCGGGCAATCTGGTATTGGATGAAGGCATGTTGATCATCAGCGACACCAGGGTGAAGGGGCTGGGGGCGGCAGCATTTGTGCAGGACCGTCTCTTAGTTGGAGCTGGGTCCAGCCTGAACGTACACAACGCAGTGGGTCGCGATCTTTCCAGTGTGGTAGCCGCAGGGTGTATGCACCTCAGCCCGAGTGCGACAGTTCTCCTGGAAGATGTCGTGGGAGGCCATGGCCTCGACTTGCGAAATGCCGACTGCTCAAGCGCCTGCACAAATCGTACTTTCGAGGTCGCCTCTGGAGCGTCTTTGACGGCCAGCGGGTATTTGAGGTCGGGTCTGTTAGCCCTGCAAACCTGCCCGTTTGAAGTCGTTCACCTTTCGCATATGCACCTCCTTTCTTGGTCCAGTCCTGTACTGAGCAGCTACACACGGCCACACCAGGTGGTGGTTGCCGATGTCAGCATCGACTACAAACCACCGTTGCACGATGTTCTCATCTTGGCAACAGAAGATGAATTCACAGTGGATTCATTGGACGTTTCATGCAAGGACTGTGGGCATGGAGTTGCTTTTAATGCAAGCAGGAGCGAACTGCGTGCCCTGAGCACTCCATCACTTGCGTGCCCGATGGCAGCATCGGTATCAAAAGGCACGCTGCAGAAATGCGCTTGTGCAGATTATCAGACAACCCGGAAGGCATATGCTGACCGTGAGGTTGTGATGCTGCAAGACATACTGCGCACCTGCACTTTCTGCGAACCACACACTTCCTTCATCAATGGGACATGTCGCAAGTGTGCACCATACAGCGCTTGGTCAGATGGCAAGTCTGACAGCTGCCACTTCTTGCCACAGGATGGCACACAACTCGGTGCATTGTTTTCAGCGTCTGCCAGCTGTGTATTCCTTGCCTTCGTGTTTTACCAGATCCTGCGGGCTCCTTTGGTTGTCGTAGATGCAAAATCGCAGCGGATCCCGCACAGGCTACGCAAAGCTGCAGGTAGTAAGCCCTTCCCGGATGGAATGGATCAGAGGTCTTTTTCCATGTCCTTGCAAGGCCCCATTGTCGATCTCCCACAGTTCCTGTCGCGGCAGCTCCATCGTCAGCTGTGCTATCGCGTCAGCGGCACAGGCCTCCAATGGTTGGACTTCAGTCCCGACAATGCGAAGGCAGTGAAGATCCAGAGTGTCGAGAGCAACAAAGTTGAAGTACAAGGCGTACACGTCCCATATGATTGTGCAGCTGCCATCGGTGCCTTGCATGCCACGGAACTAGTGCGTCTGATGCTGCCACTATGCACAGCTTTGTTCTTGGCGGTGTTGCTGCCAGTCGTGCTTCAAGTTGCATTCATGTCCGGCAACGGCATTGTGCATGTTCTTGTCACAGCCGGGTACTGTGCGCTCCCAGTGTGCTTGGCAGCTCTGATTCTTCACCCGGCTGTCGCATGGCTCATTGACCAGCGATGCCACAGAACGCCCTTCTCCAAACTCTTGGATGAGTACCGGCGCCGCATCCACTTCGACCCCCACCCGGGCCCAGATGGAATGCACCCCAGCAAACAAGGCTTCTGGGCTCAGAGTTGATTCATGCTAGACCTTCAATCCGTGAAGAGGACATCCTTGCTGCTTGTGTAAATGCCTGTGTGTTGAAAAACACCTCAGGTTTGATGGTCCTGACATTGTGGGAACTTTGGGGCCATTTCGAGACTTTCATCCTGGATCGAAACATGCACTTTGTGGTGAACAACATGGTCAGGCCTTTGACTCGAGTCAGACAGGTGGCCTTCGTGAGCCTCTGGGGTGGAAGACAGGCAGGGGTGTCTAACCCCATTCCTTACAACCCACACGGGAAGCACAATAAGTTCAACAAGTACGACCAATAACAGTTATAGACTTATAAAGTTATAGAAGCACCACGAACCAGAGGGCGAGCAAGCCAACCCCAAGGTTGGCAGCATGAAGGTGATGATATTTCTTAGGTTTCAGAAGTATGAACAGATAACAGAGCCAGAGCATGATTGAAATGCATGATAGTATCCGCAATAGAATTCTCGTGCCTGGCGAGCCCTGCCCTGCTAAGCCTGCACGTCGCAAGACTTGGCAAGGTGGACTACTTTGTCTCCCACTCGTGGGGCACAAGTTTCGCACATTTTGTGCGATCGATTCACTGTCATGCTCTATCAAGGGAAGGTCAGCTTTGGCGGCTTGCTGGGCATTGCATGCAGTAAGATTTTGCGTAAAACCCCTAGGACAGAGACCCGGGCCGCTGAGCCAAGGGCCTTCAATGTTAAACCGTGACCGCGAAACCCTAAATCCGCAAATCGAGAAGTGTCAGAATCCAAGACCCCAAGCCCCGTACCCTGCAAAGGATGGACGTGAGCTACTGGATTTGCTCGTTTGCAAATAACCAGTGGGATATCGAGGCAGAGTCTCTCGGACGCGAGAGGGGTCATGGCTTAGAGTGTAAGGCTCTGCAGTTTCGGGGATATCTCGGGGTTTTACAATTTACGGTTTACGGCAGTCGCAACAGACCTGCACAAAGGTATTAGGTTTTAGAGCTTAGAGTTTTAGGGATGAGAGCTTCAGGGTTTTGCAGCTCCGAGGGCAACCCACAAAATTTGAACCATAAGCTGGAGTGGTTGAGTGCTTTGAAGTGTGAAGTATTGAACCTGCCACCTACTTCACCATCGCGGCCCCCTGATAGAATGCCCAAGAAGCTTCTGTCAGCTGAATGGGCAACCCCCCCCCCCCGCAAACACATGCCCTTCATCAAGGGGTCCTACGGTTCAGATTGAGGAGCAAGCAGGAACAGGGCTCAACCTGATCTGTTTTGACCTGCTCAGGTTGGGAGAGACCATCATGGACAGCGCTTTTGCTCGAACTCTCCGTGGTGACATCAAAGGTGTGGCCATGGTCCTTGATCACGAAGTGCAGCCCCTCACCAGAGCCTGCGCGTCAAAGGGAAAAGTCTCCTGGGCATTGAGGGCTTTGCCAATTTGCGAAATTCGTAAGCTGTGAAGCTTTCGGGCTGAGGAGGGTCAGGTGGGGTAGAACGTTTGGCGAGTGACGCAGTCGTGAGAGTAGGGCTCAGCTTTTGCATGCTTGCTTCGCCGCTTGACCAGGAGTATGGTGCCTGTTCGAGTTCCTGCTCTCCAAGCAGCTTGATTTGGAGCTTGTGTTTGCAACCGATGTTGGCGTAATAGGCGATGATGGATGCACATCCTTCGACATTGCACTGGAGCTGGGCAACAAGATCGAGTCTTTGCAAGTCGTAAACTGTGCTGCTTCAAGTGATTTGGACAGGACAGCCAGTGCCGCACTCGGAACCCTCCAACACTCGATCCCCCAAACTGCGGTCAGTAGAGCAGACGGACTTCAAGGGAGCTACGCATTTGTGTTGCAGGACTCGCATCTTCGAGTTCATCGTTTCGTCGCTGGGCAGCCTAGAGAGCATGGACGAGCAGATCAGGGATCTCATGGGCCGGATGCTGAAAAAGAACCTGGCAAACGTGGGAGTTGCCACAAGCAGCTTGCTACAAAGGTTGGGTCATGTTGGAACCGACTGAGAGGCCTGCAGTGGCTTCGAGGCTCCGATACGGCAGGGATTCATTTCTTTTAATTTTAACGGAATTCACGCGGAGTGCAGTTGTCCATTGGGCAGGCTCAAGAGTCGTTGCTCAACAAGAGGTTCTCTGTGCTTCGAATCGTCTAATTCACGTTGCATGTGCAAGTTTTCCATCGGGTGCGCAAGAGCTGCTACCCGTGCAGGCGCTCTGAAAGTAGAGCTTTTGTAGTTATAGCTTTGTGAAGCCGGCGCAGTAGCGGCAAGGAGCAAGGACACCGGGTCCTTGGCAATACCTACTTGCCTGGCTTGCGAGTAGGTTGTCAGAAAAGCACATCGCAGTACAACAGGAACTTGTTCTGTTGCAAGGTGTCACGCACGGGTACGCACTAGTTGGAGCAGCCTGTTTTCTCCAATCTTCTTTCGATATGTTCGAGAGTCACAAGCAAGTTCAAAAGGCCAGAGGCGCTAGAAAGGCAGCTCGCAAGAGTCTGTCGCTTGCTCTCTCAGTCTCGCTCCGGTCGATCAACGGTCCTGCGCAAGCGACTCTGGGCGCCCTGAAATCCAGAAATCCATCTCTCGATAAAGGCACTGTGGAGTTCCCTATCACTAGCATGTGGCCACGAAACCTTCGGTGACATCTTCTCCGGGGCCTTGGAAAGAAACATGGGAGAACTGTTGGAATGACTGTTTTCGGCATTCGGGAGTCGACCCGAACTCGAGGCTGCATACCTGCAGGGAGATGTGTCAGCGCCCGAGCGAATTGGGCCTTTTTTGCAAGTCCAGGTCGGGAAGACTTTCGGGTCGGGGTCCGGCTTAGGGTTTCGTGGATTTGCGTGAGTGGCAGATCCTGGTGTCAGAGGTCGCCAGGCTTAGGGTTTAGGGTTTTAGGGTTTAGGGTTTAGGGGCAGCTGTTCGACACCATCCTTGCAAGCTGTTGCTTCCCATTGCTTGCACATTCATGGCTTCAGCACAGGACTGCGGTTCTCTTGCTTTCATCACCGCCACCACAGGTCTCCATGGCCCTTACCGTAAAGCCTTAAGCCCCAGCCATGGCCCTGCCTTGAGTGCGCTGCAACCGGCAGCCCCAGAACGTACACGATGCCTAGTCCACACCTCCACTGCCCGAGGTTGCATACAGAAAGATGGCGATAGTTTGTCGCGCATAGGAAAAGCTTCCCTGATTTTGCTTTACCGGAAACACAGCAAAACACGGCCAGCATCTGTATGAATGTACAATATGTTAACTGGAACAATAACTAGAAAGCATGTTGCCATATGGAAAGCACCGAGGCGTACTAAGAATCTCCCCCCATGCCATGCACGGGTCTGCATTCAGCCAACAGCAGCTCCCGAATACCTCTAGTGCCAAGAAGAAGTCATCGTGATCTAGTCACATTCTGTGTGTGTGTACCTGTGTGTATGTATGCATGTGTGCATGTGTGTGTGTGTCAAAGTATGTATGTATGTATGCATGCATGTATGCATGCATGTATGTATGTATGTATGTATGTATGTATGTCCTAAACCTCGCCTGACCTGGTCGAGCGCGAGTGTTAACATGTAGGAATGTATCTATGTATGTATGTATGTATGTATGTATGTATGTAAGTCTCTATGTATACATATATAATGCCCTAGGAAAACAATGAATACAAGAGTTTAA